CTTCTTCTTCTCTTGATAATTCTCCACAACTCAAAGTTCAACATAATAACTCCTTGCTTTTCTTGAGGAAATTACACAAGATATTAAGTATGATAGTTAGTCAAAATACGAGATAAATAATTTATGCAAACTTTTTTCTCTATTATTTGACATCATCAAAACTAATCATATCTAACAATATATAATTATGAAAGAGTATAAAATTTTTTACTTCTAAAACAAGTAACTAGATGCATCATTTTAGCATCTTTCTGAATTAAAAATCATTATGGGCAAGTAGTTAACTTGCCGGATCAAACATGGTTGTATTTTTTTTATTACAAAAATTAGATGACCTAGATTTCAGATTTCAGAATTCATATATCTTTTATTTTTTTTTTTAATAAAACATAATGCAACTATGCTGCCGAGCAAATCCAAGAATAAAAGCTAGTTATAATGAGTCTCTTCCATCGTCATATTTTTCGGTAACCAAACGTGCCATGACTGGTTTTTCCTTTGAACGTTTCTTAAAGCCTGAGAGTTTTATTTTAAATTGGCTTCCGCACAAAAAAATGCATATGATTAATTTTGATCTTTAAGAAAGCATAAATCTTTAACTACTCCAAAGTAAGTAACTAGACGTCTAGACATAACGTTATCTTCGTTGTAAATTAAAAATAATATTGTGTATTCACTCGGAAAAAAATTATGTATCTATTATGTCAAAGCAAGGAAGGGCAATGCTTACATTATGTTGCTTGTATTTTTATGTTAAGTTTTATATATGGCAATGCGTCTTTTTTTATGTGATTTATAATTAAATGATAATATTTTAAAAATCTCTTTTTTTATTTAACATAATTTAAACACGCGCACATATACACAAATATGTTAATACTGAGCTCAAACCTGAAACCTCATCCAAGTATGACAAGCAGTATTGCTATTGGGCAACTAGCTACTAGCAAATGTAGAAAATACGAGTTACAATCTGAACAACTTATCAAGACTATCTGATCAAAGTGTAGCAGAGATGCCAGCATGTCATGATCAAATTTCTACTAGAATGTGGTTGACTCATTACAATTCTATAAATTATAGGTTAATATGATTAGATGTTATTTTTGAGACTTTGTTTAAAACAATATCCATTTAAATTTTAACCATGTTATTGTTTCTAGTAAATCATTTTTATGTTATTTATTGGTTATTCTATTTAATTTTTTATGAAATTAGTTTCTTTTTACCAGCTTTATCCAATTAGTTTACATTATAATAAGAATTAATTTTAAACTTTTAAGTTGATTTTAAAAATAATTTTTAAAACAATCATCCAAACATGTTCTTTTGTTTTTTGTTCTCAAAATTTGTTTTAAAAAACAGTTTTATAAAATTATTTTGAAAACAAGAAAACAGGAAACAAAACCAAACAAGCCCTAAATTTCTCTCAACTTTTAAGTGCGTGTTTGGATTGCCGTTTCTAACAGCAAAAGTGTCTTAGAAATGGTAAAATTGAGGTTGCAAACTGAGTTAGACAAAAAATATTGTTTGGCTGGGTTAACTTTTTCAACCACCTTCTGACCTTCAACCTCAGTTGAACTCAATGGAAGAAAATCTAACTTTTCAAACTGCAGTTTCAAATGGTGATAATTAAAAATAAGCATGCTAGATTTACCCTCATATTTTTCCCTCTGCCTTATCTCCTTTGTTAGCATGATGAACTTTTATTCAAACCAAATGAATTTTAATTTATATTCATGTGTGTCTATTATATATATTTAATTAATTATCTATAATGTGTTTTCAAATTTTTCTCTATAACAAATATTTTTATTTTATATTTTATCATAATAATTTTATGTATTTTTTTCAACTATTATCATATTAAAAACATAAAATTTCAAACACTATTATTCAATCAAGTCTATGCCTTTTTTAGTCATTTTACAACTAAATTAACATTTCTATTAATCATCCAAATAATTTTTAACTTTTTCAATTGACTTTTTAAAAGCACATATCCAAACATAGCCTAATTAATTTTTATTCTAATTTTAATTACAAAAGTCAGTTGGGCTAGAAGTCAGTTTTGTCCACTAACAAATGTAGCCTTCATGGTAAATACATGAGGATTTAATTTGGAGGTTCTGAGCTCGACACCAAGAAGTCAGTTTTGTCCAATGCCAATTTAAACCTACCCTAAGTCTATGCATATAACTTGGAACTATTAATTTTTTTACCTTATTAAACTTTATTTTTATATGCATATAATCTCCTCAAACTTAAGTTATTTGCAAATAAACTTCTTAAACTTGAAGTCATTTATGGATAAATAATGAACTATACCAATAGTATGAGTGTTGTCTGCATAAATATAGAAGTTCGCAGAAGTTTGTTGTAAAGTTTCAAAGAATTAAGCTGGTAAAAAAAAAAAAAGTTTCGAAGAATTAAGGATTAAAGGTGGCATCATGGCGATGTTATCAACTTGTTGGATCAAAAATCAAAACCTTTTGGGCTTTGTTGGTTTCTAATGAATGGAAAACACTCAAACTTCTATGTGAATGAATTGGGCCGAATTGTTATGGGCCCTAAGATATTTTTTTTTGGTCAAAAGCCCTAAGATATTTGACTGTATTAAATTTGGTTAAATAGATAAGAGTGGATGGGACTTTCATTTCATTTGTTTGTTTTTTCCCCTTTAAAAAGATGAATTAGGTAAATGAATGACATTCTGAAACATTGTGAACGTTTTAATCTGTCGTAAATTTAATGTTAATTAAAATGAAATTAATGACATTCATATTAATATTAATGTTTTTAACGATTAACTTATTGAAGGTTATAATGTTAAAAGGAAAAAAAGGAATTAAACGCTGCTGGAAAAAAAGGGAATTAAATGCAACTGTTTTAAATAGGTACATGCATGGACGCGTCATGCTTAATTTCCAAACAAATGGAAAACTTTCATGCTCAGTAATTTTTTTGATTGATTGTTATGAACATCTTTTTACATTGCTTATGAAATACAATTTTGAAATTCAAAATTTCTTTTGACACTCCTATTACTCTTTCGATTTTTAATATAATATCTAATTAATTAATTTAACTAGATTAAAAATATTAGTTAAATTAGTTAATATGATATGTTCTTTTTAAAATACTCTAAGCATCTTTCTTAATTCCCTCCCTTTTTCTTCTATCAACATGGTTAATTTGGAAAAAATTGATAAATATATAAAATAGATCTTCCATATAAAACTAATATTAACTCCCTAATTAGATTTTACATTAAGGATAGAAGGAATATTTATTTTTTATGTGTTACTTTAGTGATATACTAAAATTTTAAAATTTGTAAAATGAAATATTGTATTTTGTGATAGCTAATATCGCCCATTGAAATACTACTTCCGATTTTTAATATAAGAATTAGTCGACCAATCTGAGTAGATTAAAAAAACCAGTTAAATTAGTTATTTATAATAAATAGATATTGTTATACCTAAAATATTCTTATTAATCAATTGTATTGGTTAGAATTACCATTATTAAAATGATTACATTAAAAAAATGAATAAATATGAAAAATAAAGTAAATTAGAGTATTATATTTATGATCAAAATAAAAGAGAAATAGCTTTTAAAAAAATAAAAAAATTAGTTAAACACAAACAAATTATTTGCATGTTTTTCATGGATCATTACATAGGACATAGGAGTATTAATATAGGAATTAGTTGGGATTGAGTTTAGTTCTAAATATAAAATTTTAATTTATTTTACTTTTTGTTTTAATTAATCCGCAAGTCCTTATAGTTTCAACGAATTTTAAATCAGGTCCCTATAGTTTTTTTTTATTAGGTCCTTATACTTTTATCTTTTTTTAATTAGGTCCTTGTATTTATTTTTCTTTTAATTAAGTCCTTATAATTTCACTAAATTTTTAATTAGGTCCATGTAGTTTTAATTTTTATTTATTAATTAAATATAAGTTTAATTAAATAGATTAATACTGAAATATAAAATATTAATAATTAAATTAAATTAATAATTATGTAATAAAAAAGTAATAGAATTAATTAATTCAGGAAATTTTTTTAGAACAATTAATTTTTTTGCTGAAAAAATTAAAATCATTATAATAATTCAATATCTTTAGAATATTATTGTTTATAAACTAATATTAAATAATATATACTATTTTATGTTTATATAATAGTACTATTAGAATTTATAAAATAAAGAATAAAAAATTCAGGGACTTAATTTAAAATAAGGTGAACTTATAAGGACTTGATAAAAAGAAAAATAAATACAAGGACCTAATTAAAAACAGATAAAAGTATAAGGACCTAATAAAAAGAAAAAAAACTATAAGGACCTGATTCAAAATTAGTTAAAACTACAAGGAGCTGTGGATTAATTATCCCTTATTTTTTTATTAAAATTTTTCAAATTATATATTGATATATAATAATGATAATTTATATATTGATTATAAAATTATTAAACTTAGATCAAATCAAACCATAGCTGTCTTTTGGCCAAAAAAAAATCGTTCCTATCTAAAATTATATTTTTCCTTTTTAAATCTCTTGAAATTGATGGCTTATTTAATTTTATTCTTTATTTTTATGTTCTTAGAATAATTTTATAAAATAAAATTTAGAAACAAAAAAATTAAAAACTGTTTTTGAACCATTATTTTTGAGAAACATAGTATCTAAAATTATAAAGTGAAAGAAGAAAGAATAGTTCATTTTATTTGCATGAGTGACACTAAAGAAAATGCAATATTCTTTGTCAAAAAATTATTTTAAATTTGTTCTTTTTTTATTTTTCAGAATAATTTTTTTGGTTTTTCAGAATAGGTCATTGAAATTGAAAATATATTTTGAACATGTCATTTTAAGAATAGAAATCAAAATAGGAAAAGTCGTAAATCTCAATAAAATAGAGTCAAAATCTGATTCGCTTTTCTTTTATCATTCAATCCAATAAAAGTACAAACTGTAAAAGTTGACTGCTGCAAGCAAAGAAAACACGAGCGAATTCCTTCGCCTATGCCTTTCCAGCTTCATCAGAAGTTCCTTCCTCAATCTTTCTGAGGATTTTGGGGCTGAATTGAAGCGCCTGGATCAATATATCGTTGTTTGATATCGCATTTTATTTCGCTTTTTGCGTAATGAGTTTCGCTTTTCTGAGAAGCAACTGACAAGTTTTTCGCACCTTTGGCTCAAAATCTTGCGCAAAGGAGGGAGATTTACCAGAATTCCTCTCGCCCATGGAAGGTATAGACGCACGGTGTTCTCTCCTTAAAAGTTGTTCGTATTAGAGATTTGGGTTTTCTATATGTTTGTTGATTTTTGTCAAATTGCTTCAAATTATGAATACTGAATGGCTTTAGTGGGTTTGACGTAGTGAATTGTTTGCATTCCTGAAGAGCTCGTTGGAATGGTGAATTTGGCATTTGGCTTTGAATTTTGGGTATTAGGTTTCTGAGATAGTGCGTCACACTGAAGGGAAATCGGGGTTTATGTTTTACTCATAATTTTATTTTGTTTTAGTGACGTCTAATTGCACCGTTTGGATGGCGAAAATGTAATACTGAAGATCTTCGATTCTTTTTCTCTCCTACATTTAGCAAATAACTCAATGGGGAACAAGTTCTGTTGTCAATGACCATAACGCTGTTGTCCACGCTTGGATCTCCTCACTGCGTTACATCAGCTGTGTTTCTGCAAAAGGCAAAGAGGATCACTTGCAATTTTTTCTTTCCAGGGGAAAATTACCGTTTTGACAATTTTCTTGAAATTTAAAGTTTCATTATTTATGAATAATGAAGCGTGTTTTCTGAATTTACTTAGGTATGATTTCCTGTGTTTATCCTTGCAGAAAAGAATTCCCCCCCCCTTCTGATATGAAAAACTGTATGGGATTGAGTGGATTATTCTCGGTTTTAGATATATGAAAAATTGTTATTCAAGCGCTTATGTTCTTGAAGAGCGAATAATAATACCAACGATAGTGTTTAGTGAATTAGAATATCTTCGTTGCTGTTATACATGTTAAATTATGAGGTCATATATGTGATTCAATAACATTTGTCGATCAATTCTGGTGGTTGACAATATGAGAAATTATTCTTCTTGTATGATGTGATTATTATATCTTTTCTGAGACATGCACTTACCTTTGCTTTCCTATTGCTGTTTAGAATCAGGCAAATTACCATCAGAAGAGAACAAAGGCTCTATGGAGAAAAATAAGAAGAGAAAACTCAAAACGCCTGCTCAGGTTTATGCTTTGGAGAAATTTTATAACGGTAGGACTTCTATGTAGGATTACTTCTATTATCATATGATATGTCATGCATAACTCCTGAACAGTTCTTTGTTATTTGTTTTTTAGAGCACAAATATCCCACTGAGGAAATGAAATTAGAACTTGCTGAGGAAGTGGGGTTGACAGAAAAACAAGTATCTGGATGGTTTTGCCACCGAAGGCTAAAAGATAAAAGACTGTTGAAAGATGAAGCTTTTGCTAATGGGCGACCAGATATTTCAAGCGGTGTCATCCAAGATCATGGAAGTGGACTAGGGCAAGATTCATGTGGAAGCACCAAACATTGTGATTATAGGCATCTTGATCCCAAAGAGGTTGAGAGTCGTGGCCTTTATGGTGGTCATGATATTTTAGTTTCAGATATGGCCTATGAACGTAGGAATCATTATTCCGAAAATGTTGGTGCAATGGATGAAACATCATCTGAGAGCAGCTCATCTTTGCAAGAAAAGGATTCATATGATGCTGAGCCTTCCGGATATCTAACACCTGACGGAGCTCTACCAACTAAAATTCCCAAGGCTGCCACAAACATGAGATATAAACCATCAGGCTATCTTAAAGTAAAAGGAGAGATAGAAAACCCTGTTATAACTTCTGTTAAGAAGCAATTAGGAAGAAATTATCGGGAAGATGGTCCACTACTTGGTATTGAATTTGATCCACTTCCTCCAGGGGCATTTGAGTGTAAAATTGCAGATCCATTTCATGGTAGGTTGTGCCATACACATTCTGTCCTCACAGTTACCAGGCCCTTAATTTTATTGGCTTTGCAAGATTAAATATGGTGCTTATCTCTGGACCATTTGAGCTTCTTCTTCTAAAACTAAACCATGGCTTTGGTGGAAACATACAACTACCTAATTCCACCAAAATCATGGTTTTGACGATTTCTTATGTGAAACCAAACATGCTGAATATGATGGAATTGTTTTACTTATCTGTAATCTTGGGGAACTTATTCCTGGATCTGGATGTGGTGCTTGAATGTTTATAACGCATGGCATTGGCAATCTCATGACTATGCAATATGTTTTTTTGTTTGTTGCTTGTTCTGGTCAAGAAATTTGCTGTTTCTCTCTGGTTTTTATAAATCTAAATCTTATTTTTAACTACTTCAAATCATTGTAAGAATAGATTGTGGGTCTTATTTCTAATCTTGTGTTTTCTATGGCAGAAACATACTATATGGCGAATCGTGCTCTTAACTACTCTCCTGAAATTTCTGCTGTGAAAAGGCAACCCGGTCTTTGTGCTGTAAGTAGAACTTTCCTGAAACTTGTATTGTTCTTGAGGCTATTTCGGTTAAAATTTAGCTTCAGGGGATTTTGTGTGCGTATATGTGTTTTGAATGTCTTAGAAGCATCAGTTCTCTTCACAAGTACTTGGAGTAATTTCATACTTGAGCCTTCTCAATTCTGCTGCTGTTTTGTTATTTGATTGACGTTGGTATCTATACAGCTAATCTTTTGTTCATTGTCGTGATTACAGTGATTGGGCAATAATGATATCTTTTGCCTCTTACTTACTGTTCCTTCTGTATTTGCAGAGATATGATTCGTATAATACCGAATTGTATCTGGAAGATTCTCATATGGAAGGAGAAAACCTCTCTGATTTCCAGGATAAGAAGTCTCATCAGCATTCAAAGCAAAGACCACCTTTGTACAGTCATACCTTTCGATTTCCTAGCACAAACTCTTCTCTGGATATGTATGAACATTCTGTCGGAGAAGCACCTGCATATAATAGAAAAGACAATCGTAGAGTCGGCATCAGGCATGGCTTTGAAGGGTTGAAATCTGATTATGCTTCTAATCATAGTGATCACTATGATGGTAACCTTGCAGCAAACTTAAAAGACTCACTGTTGCATGGATATGATAATGTCGATTTGAAGAATGCTCAGAGTGAATATGTAAAACCTAAGCCTTCAAACCTGATCAGGAATCCTTTTGTTTCTATGGACACTAAGGATAGAGGAGGGCTACCCAGTAAGATGATAAAGGTATGCTCTAGGTTTTTCATCTCATATACTTCTCGAATGTCATACAGATCGGTTATGATTTTTTTTTTTTTTTAAAAATTACACATGTGCAGGAAAAGAAATCTAGTGAAAAAAGAAAGGCAAGAAAACAAAGTGATGATCCAAATGGACTAAGGATGCTTTCGCATGAGGTTTGTGTATGTTCAAGCCATCCTCTTGTCATGTTTCAATTTTTACATTGACATCATAGACTTATTACAAAGTATTGAAAATGAGGGGTAGAGATTGTGATTGCAATTGAGAAAATCTATTAAAAGAGTGTTTAGCATGAGAGATTGTTTATTATATGGGATTAGACAAACCTGCTTATGTAAGATTGAGGAATACCATGGGAGGGTGTATTTTCCAATTCCACCTCCATGGGATTTGCTTAATCTCATGTAACAAGCAATTATTCAAACTAAATATTTTTTTAATGATTTTTCTCAATTGCAATCCTAGTTTTTATCTCTCATTTTTAATGTTTCGTACCAAACGGGACTGTAGGTTACAATGTTGTTTTGCCTTACTAACCATAGTAATTACTTTTTCTTGCATGGACATCGTAGGCTGCCAAACGTCTTGTTGGTCCACCTCTACAATACAATGTTCAAGAACATGTTGCTGAGATGCAACCACACAAAAGCCAGAGGTTAGCATTTATTTCATTGTACTCTCTTACCCTGGTCATCTCAGATTGCTGTATGCTTTTGTGTATGTCTGTGTTTGCTCTTTCTTGTTTGCCTTCTTGATTGATAATCTTCTTTGGATATTAGCCAGGAGCATTTGTTTTCTTGACTGAGCTTGAGCTTTTAATGTTCATAGGGAAAATAATGATCAGTGTTCATTTGATTTAACTATTTCCTTGATTTCAATCTACACTCTCTTTGCTGTAGAATCCAGGATTTTTTGTTTGGGGACAGAGCTTGGCGGAATTCTTTAAATGTTTATGGCCCAGTTTCATCAATAGAATTATTATCTGCAGACGAGGTGTCTTGTTTTTGTCTTTTTTTGGAAGGAGTCGGTGATGTGATGCTGAGCTATTCACGTCCACCACGTGTTTTGTTTTAAAGGGTATCAGTATTAGTCAATCAATATCATCAAAGTATGAATATATTAGTTCGTATAGTTTAAAATATTGAGCAAATAATTCTTCTTAAGTTGTAAATATTGTCACTCATCCTTCAACTTGAGTGCATTACATAGGAGGCCTATCGAGTGATGTCAAAGAAATACCTGAAAGAATTTCGCCCGAGTTCTGTTCTTCTTCATTTTCCCTAGAAAAGTTTCAGCCATAATGGTATTATATGCAACTCCTTTCTAACAGTAACAGCTTCACCGTGCAGATCTTCCATGGAAGTGTCATCTAGCTTTAGTGAAGATGAAACTGCCAATCCCAGCTCGTCTCTTGATGAAGCAATCGGTTGCCGTTAAACAGTAGACAGAGTTTTAGAGAGGTTTCTGTATGCCATGCCATGGATATGTACAGTGAGTGAGCTAAGGAGCACTCTTTGTAGCCAGCAAGAGTAGTCGCATTGAAGTATTGAATCTGTTTGATGCTTTTGGTACCTGTTTGCCATTGTACGAAAAGAAGAAAGCCCTTCCTTATTTATGTGATTATGTAAATCTCACTAATCTGGAGTTGATTGTGGTAGGAGGTTTTGAAATGCATCCTAGTTTGGTTCTATTTTGATCAATGTTGAAGCACCGAGCTATTTACTGATTTCTGATTTAAATTCATTATGGGGAAAAATCATATTTTTATGGGAGTTAAAAATAAACATGTTTTGGTCCTTGATAAATAGTTCTCAAGTGACCATTTTACAAGCACACATGAAATAAACTCATTGAATATGCTGTCTTAATTAACATACCGTCAAATTTAGCCTTCTTTTTTGCAGGGAAATACAATGAAAGGACAACATGCATTTCCGTAATTGAGATTGAATGGAAAGAAATAATTGTTGCTTAGTTATGTTTTAGGATTTTTTGTGAAATGATAAGTTTTATTATTGATAATAATAATGTGATATTATTGGGTTAAATTCAAATACTGTAAAATCCAAATGAAAATAACTCATTATTTGACCTAATCCAAACATTAGCTGCAGATTTTGGTTTTTACATTCATGATTAGGGTCTTTTGGGCCAGAAAGGTTGATATCACAATCTAAATCTGTAAAGTTTGAGTGGGACTATAGAAGGAGTACCACTTGTTTCCTTTTTTTCTTTTTCTTTTTTGGTGGGAGAAATTTGGGGGGACCATTGAGAACTGTAGGATTTGAGGGCAACCCTAACTTTAAGATAAAGTGTCATACCCTTTGGACATTGATGTTGGTCTCTATCACTCACCATCGTCGGAAAGACAGAGTGCCCTTGTTCAAGGCATCATGCACTTGCCTCTCGCCTCTCACCCCTCATCATCATCATCATCATCAATATTTCATGTTAATCTATATTCAATTAATAATACTATCTTCAGTTCTTAATATAAAACCTCATTTGACTATTATTTTGGTCTTAATTATAAGATCATAAGTTACTTTGTCTTTTATATTTATATATATTTTTTCAAGATAGTCCTTCTAATATTGATAGTTCTAACTAATAAATTTGATTAGTAAGGATGTTTTATGAAGTACAACACCTATTTATTACAAATAACTAATTTAACTTATTTTCTTAATCTCCTCAAAATAGTCAACTAACTCTTATAATTAGGACCAGAGGTAATATTTTACTATAACAATTTAATTAATTTGGATAGATTGAAAAATTAAATAAATTATTTAATTTTAAAATTTTTTGTAATATGTTTATTTAATCTATTCATATAAATAAAATCTATGTTTTTTTTTCAAAAAAAAAATAAAAAAAAGAAAGTCTCCTTCACTTCACATGGGGAAATTTGGATGTGTTTGGAATCAAACAAGTGATAGGATGTTGAAGCACGTAGAGGGGTGGCCATCATGTTTGAAGTCAGGTTCACCTTATCAGATGACCTGTACTTTTCTAGTGCCATATTTGATACCACTTTGTTCTCTCATACATCAGCCTCATGACATGAGGGTGAAAGCACCCCCTTTTCACTTGCTTCATTGAATAACAACCCATTTGCTTCCATGCCCTAAGAAAATTTTTTCTCAACATACTTGGAATTATATTCCCTGGTCAAAAAAAAAAAAAACTTGGAATTATATACTGACTAGAGACAGTAACATAAATTGAGTTTGCAGACTAGCTCGCAAAAAAGAAGCAGCTTGAGTTTGTAAAATTGGAGTCTATTTTAAGACAGGTCCCGTTTGAACTGCAACCCATTATGAGCTAACTAAATAATTCGCAGGTTGTCCTACCTTTTTTTTTTTTATTATTATTTTGATTATAATAAAAACAAAGTCACGGTTTTGCACTTAATTTAAACATAATATTATTCAATTTTAGAAACGGGATTTCATGCTTGATTTTTAATTTTATTTGTTTATAATTTTTATACTGATAGAATAATTATGCAAAATAAGATATATGTTCTATATAATTGTATAAAAGAAATAAAAGCAACTTGAATTTAGTCTATAAACATTTGCAATTTTATTTAAACATTAAAAATATATTTAAAATGTTTTTTTAAAAATTTAACTAATGAGGGAATATTCATCCCGCTCAAATACAATGCCATTAGAATGTACTTGTACTATTTTCAGTTTTAATTATAAAATCTTATTTATAAATTATAAACGATGTCTTATAATTAAGACCATAGCATTTTACATTTTGAAATTTCATTAGTCAATTTGGGTCTTTTACCCTTCACAATTTTTTTCCCCCTCCTTGTCCGCCATATGACAAATTTCAGCTGACAAGTGATAATGTACATAATTTATCCAATATTTTTTAGAATTATGTTTTTTTCGAATAAATGACAATTTTATTCAAATTAAATAAAAAATTATATATAAAAGACTGGCTTACCACATATAATTAATTTAAGCAAAACCCAAATAAACTAGAGGAGAAGGCGGACTCATCACTAAAGCAGGAAAACAACAAATTACAAAGGAAAAAAAAAAAAATCAAACAACGTGATGAGCACTTCAAAGACCAGCAAAAAATTTCATATTATCATGACAATTTTTAATTAAAATATAATAAATATATATAAAATAATAATATCATAAATATGTATTTTTGTAAACAAGTACGAGTACTTAGTTATTTATTTTTATTGCATATTTATTATATTTGAATTTTATATTTTTAATTAATATACTAACCTTTATTTATGGAAATATTGGATAAACAATAATATTTATAAATTATTAACACTGGTTTGAAATTAGTCAATAGTCATGTTGTCACTTCTATTATCACACGGGGTGTTGTTATAAGGTACATTTAAAAAGAAGCAGATGGTTCTAATGATAGATCAAAATGAGATATTAATTATATTTTTTTAACACTGTCCCTGTTTAAATTCTCATTAATTATGATTTTCATGGCTTTACGGATGTAATTTGTGGTACCAAAAAACATAGATGAATTTGAAAATTTTCTTTTTTATATTCAAACAATGTTAACTACTTATCTTTAGTTTAGATGATTTCTTTAGATGCGGATTGGGATGCAATGGGGTGTATAGTGTTAGTGCTACATAAGCAAAATTAATACTCCTCCGGTCCTTATTATAAGACCCAATTTGACTTTTTATTTGGTCCTAATTATAAGACCCAATCCATTTTGTCTCTTATATTTATGCATTTTTTTCAAGATAATCCTTCTAATAATGATAGTTTTAGCCAATATACTTAATTAGCAAGGATATTTTAGGAATGACAACACTTATTTATTATAAACAACCAACTTAACTTACTTCCTTAATCTCCTCAAATAAGTCAATTGGGTCTTATAATTAGGACCGGAGGAGTATTGTTTAGTTTTCTATAGTATTATTTGGTATTCGGTGCTATTTTTGGATGGTATCAGAGCAATAAACTAATTTGGCTTATGTTTCATGATTGCTTCTCAGTACTTAAACTTAACATTCAAAGGGATCTATTGAGGTTTTACCCAGCTAGACTAACTCTTTGTGCTCACTTTGAACTTAAATACTCTTGCAAATATAAGGACCAACATTTTAAACAAAAATAACTTGGAAGAATTCCACGAAAAGAAACTTAAAATTATCAAGTCCTAAATTAAATTACGTTTGATAACAATATTTTAATTGGGTTTGACAATTGGATTTGCAAATAAAAACACATTTTTATAAAAAAATTTTATTTAGAATTTAGTAATTTAAAACTTTTTTCTGTGAGACTCTCAAATAAATTTATGGAACCAAAACCTCTAATTTAAAATTACATGACTAAAATCAAAATTAAGCACCACGATAATATTAAGTTATTAACTTTTAACTCAACCAAGGGTGTTTAAAATTGGCTTGTCTCAGCCAATCCATACTCAAAGAATGGGTTTAGTAATACTGAGATGGGATTGGCTAGTTCTGAAATTTTTTGAGATGGAACAAAAAAATAAGACCAGGACGGTTCAGGATACGGGACTGGGTCGTCCCGTCATCCCGATAGTATCATGTATTTTTATTTTTTATCATATTTAATTGTTAAAAACAAAAGCTTAAAAGACCATTCCACCCCGAATAGCTAATTTTGATTTCCCAATTTCCCATTCTTCCATTCTCCAACATCTAGGTATAACTCACAGTGTCATTCCTTTCACAATCATAACTACCCCCAAGCTATTCAATTTTGTAATTTAAATTTCAAATTGGCTCTTCATTTAAACAAGTGAATATAATTAAGAGTTTGCGAATGTAGGGATAGAACAAGTGCTGCAATAAAACAGAAAGCATATAATTAAATCACTAAAAGGTGAAGAACAACAAGGGAGTAGGCATGGGAAAGTAAGGGATGAAAGTAAATAGATATGAATGCATAATCCTAAGTGCTAGACATTTAAAGTGAGGCTATGAATAGTGCTCACAATATAAGTTGTTATTATTTTTTATTTGATATATTGATATATAATAATTTTCTTTGGCCAACTACTGTGTATGATATGCTGCTTCCGTTTTTTAATATAAGACCTTATTTGATTTTTATTTTAGTTCTAAATATAAGACTCTAATTCACTTTGTCTCTCATATTTATACATTTTTTTTAAGATAGTCTTTTTAATAATAGAAGTTCTAGTCAATACACTTGATTAGTAAGGATATTTTAGGAAAGATAACACCTATTTACTATAAGTAACTAATTTAACTTATTTTTTAATCTACTTAAATTAATTAACTAGTTTTTATATTTAGGATCGGAGGTAGTATGTGTGCTTCTGTTTTAATTTTTTAAAAAGATTAGAATGTCTCGTCTTATCCCAATTCTATTTAGTTCCTATTAGAACTAGAACAATACTGAGATGAGATGGGACACGGAACAAAAAATCTATACTAACCTTGTCCACTAGGACAGTAGCGGGACAAGGCACCCCTAAACTCAACCACTTATCTTTAATTGTTGATGATTTCATTAGACGTGCCTGGATTGGGTTGTAGTGGTATGGATGCTGTGTATGTGTAGTCGTATACACTGTAAAGCTCGTAATCCATTCTGATATAAAAAATTAACTATGACATAATGGGTTATATGATTCTGTGGCGATTCTAACAAAGTTACATGTTCGTTCGCCTAAATCACTCGCTTTCTGAGCGAACCATTATCGGCGACGGTATTTTTAATACCTTTTCTTTGTAACTTTTGCAAATTCTTTCTAATCCTCTCTCTTTTCTTCTCCTCATCCTGCATTGTCTTCTCTCTCTACCTCGCTTTCTCTCTCTTCTGCAACTGTTAACAGATCACAGTTTCCTAGATTTTCTCATTAATTTCCCGCACTTCGTTAGCTGAAATTTCCTTCTTCCTGACAGTCTGACAGTGACCTCAGCTCAGTGACATCACTGGAATTTATGAAGTTTTCTCCTCATTTCTCGATCGGCCGTACTTCATCACCCAGCACGTTGTTTTCTTTGTGCTAATCAGTGTCCAGGTTCACTTGGGACCACGCTTTGGTTCCTACTGTTCTTGGCAGTATCAAGTTCTGAAACATTGGTTTTGGTGCTCTTTGTGCGGAAGGAAACTGTAATTGAACAAATTGGTAACTCAACGTAAGTGATTATCAAGGTGGATTTGAGCTGTGGTGATGATTTTAGGCTGTTGGAATGTGGCAATTTGGGCCTTAGTAGGGGCTGAGAGCAAATTGGGCAATTGATGAATGGCAGGGTCTGGTTATTATGAAAACGGTTGAGTGTGAGATTGGTGTTTCGATTTGAGAATTATTTCTCAGCTGTGCTTTTTGGTTTTTATTGGTGTCACGGACTGATAGAATGGCTTCGGATCTCAACAGAGCTGGTCCCGTGGAAAGAGACATTGAGCAGGTATCTTCAGAAACTTGCTCGAACTTTAGCTAGTATTACGATTTATTATAGTCTACAACTGAGCGATGCAGGAGAGAAACTAAAGAAACAGAAAAATAATGGAAAACTTCTCGTCCCGTGGTACTGTCAATGCTGTTTCTCTGTTGGCTGCGAACAAATGGACAAGGATGATTTGGATATAGTGATTTGCTTTATTAAAACTCCATATTTCCTCTCTTTTTTCGGTATCCCCTTATTTATTTATAATCGTCGTCTAAAGGCTGATTATATTAGTACTTATGACCTTCCGAACTTTGATAAGCATGAGCTTAATAAACGTCCTGGTGATCGGTGATCCTGGGTGCTATTGGCAACTCTCTGGTTATTGTCATCTATAAAGTGACTTGGGCATAACTTTGTTGGTATATAAATCAGAGTCTAGAAACAGTAACTTCTCTGCCACGACCATTAGTATCTTAAACTGTCAGCTAGAATTGTGTCAGCTGAAGTCAGTTTCAATTGTCATCTTCTAAATGCACGCATCTTGGAAGATACGTTGCTCCTGGTTTTTGAAATTCATATTTAGGCTTTATCAAGGCTGGTTAAAGCTTTTTTTTTTTGGGGGGGGGAATTTCCCGCCAGCCTGTTTTTAGAGAAGCTGCTTACTTCCTAATCATGATCAGAATTCATACTTCACACAAAATTAACGAGTCCATGATTGAAACCAGTGTCTTGTAAACTGTGCTTTAAACTTAAACTGTAAATGATGTGTAATTTGTACGAGATAGCAAAAAATTTGTCAGAAGAGAAAGAGAGAAGTACAAGAGTCAAGAGCAGAGTATAAGTTATTCTCTTACAAGAAATTCAAGGGCATACTAACCAGAAAAAATGAGAAACACATGAAGGAAGAAATGCTACTGAAATTACCGTTAGCCTGTCATCACAAAGAAGCTAAGAAGATCACTTTATCCCATTATAGAGGTAATATAAAAAATATCATCCTTTAAATTTCCTGTGTCCTTCTCCAACTGAAGGCATATTATAGCAATTAACATTGTATGCTTTCAACGAACCATGCCATCTATAGTTCTCTCAAAGCCCTATGTTGACATTTTGATTTTGCTCCAAACTCCCTGGGCAAGTCCATTACTCACTGAAAAGATCAAAAGTCTGCACCGCAAATATCTCTCATTAGGAACAAGATAGTGTATAAATAAATATTAACATTCACTTAGATTTGTATCATGACTGCCAAATGTTGCACAATCCATTAAGGAACAGGCACCTTCTTTAGCAGGCTAAATCTTTCAGAAATTTCACAATCTGGGACATTAAATTATTTATCTCAATCTTGTCCACAAATCTGATCGCTCATGGATCAATATACTTTAGTATAATTATCTTTTGTGAGATATTTAGTTAAGAGAGCCGATGTGCTTTCTCTGTAGTCTCATTGTGTTGGATTTTTGGGTAACGTTTAATTTCTGTGCAAGTTATTGTGAATTCAGTCGCTGATGCTTGTAGTGGAAAACTGAAGTTTGGGGTGGATGCCCTTGTGCTTCTACAGTTCTCTTCTGCCCAAGACTTTGTCTGTGAACACATTTTCTTTTCCCTATATTATCGTTGCTGTAAAGTATAAAATGTCTTTCCATCTTCAAGTTTGCTAATTGTGCTGACTTAGGTCCTTTATCTATCCTGACCACAGGCCATTACTGCATTGAAAAAAGGGGCTTGCTTGCTCAAGTATGGAAGAAGGGGGAAGCCCAAGTTTTGTCAGATTCGGCTTTCCAATGTGAGTTTGGTGCTCCTTTTTCGTAGATATAAATCCCTCTATAAGTGTATCACCATTTTTTTTGTGTGGTGAATTAAGTGTATCACCATTTGTTACTTAAAAAATGAAGAAAACTTTGGTGGCTATAGTTAGTCGCTTGAAAATTTTCAAGTAAAAATTGGAAATGCAAGAGCTTGATAAGTTGTTACCACTTTATATGCTGTTCCAAAATTTATGTATTATATAAAAATGGAATTCAAGCTAGATTGTACCCTTGCTGACCATGTCAAGCTCTATTTTAATGTAGTGATTTTGCATGCTATTTATAGAATCAACCTGCTATCATTACTTTTAAGCTCTCAATTGCTCTTGCTATTGCCATGATATTGGTTGGGGTTTATCTTGCTTTACCTACAATACATTTTTTAATAGATATTGTAGTAAAGTTATTTGCCTGTTATTAACTTGCTGCCAAAAAAATTAACTAATTCATTTAGCTGTTGCTTTCAGGATGAATCTTCTTTGATATGGTTCTCAGGGAAAGAGGAGAAGCACCTCAAACTAAGCCATATTTCGAGAATAATATCTGGACAACGTACGGTAAGTGTTTCAAAATGAATGATAGAGGAATCATTCTTAGTTTTGCTTCTTCTGATTTAGCTGAAGGTAGTCATGCTTCAATTGAGATGATTTTCTTTTTCTCTATTTGATTTTTCTGTGATTAATACAGTTAGCATTGTCAACGTGAACTCTTGTATGCTTAAATTTATTTGATAGATGTATGGACGTGTTTTCTTATTAATTTTCAACCTAAAAGTAAGAGGGTTCTTTTCTGATTTTGATCTTCCATGTTATGATATATGTTTATGGCAACTGGATAGATTTTTCAATAACAACCCACCTGTAGAGAATAGCCATGTTGGACAATAACACCGTCCTAACACATTGCCATGAATGCATGTGTTAACAGATAAATTGAACATTTTCTGGCTCAGATGCATGAAATGGCTGGCATGGCTCCATCATGGCTCGGATATAACCGGCTCACCAAAAGGAAAAGAAAAATGACAGCAAAAGGCTTGTTATCGGTGGGGGAAAAATAATACTCAAGATTAGTGTTTAAAAATAATTTATTTAACATGTATATCCTGAAGTAGAATTCTAGGAAAGGTAACTTTTACCTAAATTAAATATAAATAAAAAATTAATATATTAATTTAATATATTATATAAAAGTAGAATGAATAGGTATTATTATTTTACGATTTATTGATATGACTGATGCTTTAATTTTTTTATTTATTTAAATGATTAATTTATTTTTTCAATTTTGTTAGTTTTTTTAAATCTCTATTCCCTTGCATGTGGGTGAAATTGAAGCTGGTTGTATCAAATAATACGTAATAAAAACAGAAGCATAGTGTAAAGTTCAAGTAAAGACTTAAATACCATTAAAGAAGATAAAAAAGTGATTGAAACATTGAAAAAGAAAAATAAAACAAGATAAAACAGAAGAGGATAAAGAGAAAAGAAGTGAAGAAAAAATACAAGGAAAAAAAAAGATTTGAAATATGAAACTAGTGCATCAACCCGATGTAAATAAACATAAAAGAAATTAAAAGAAATATAACTTAACATTTCAAACATAGATGTCTAATTACTAAAAAGCACTATGCATTATATACAGCATACAAAATTTTTGTGACAATTTGTCCCCACAGATATACCTAGTTCAGCTAGTGTATTTAAAATATACAAAGTGCCAAAAAAATTCGGGGATCTGCCCCTCACTTGTTTCTAGGTCTGCCAGTGAGTGGCAGGAAAAAATGATAGAAGAAGAAACTCTATTTTGATGGGACAGTTAAAGTCCTTTACCGATTTTTGTTTTTGTTTTTGTACATAAGATAGTTTAGACAATATAACTTTACCTGTTTTTATTTACTAGATTTATTTGACTTCTATTAATGTAGTTATACTCAAAGTAGGATAATGCTGGCTGTGTCTCTCTCTGTTTTTTAAGTTAATCACTAATGGCAATGATTATTCTATATCTTTCCAGGAGATTAGTTAATGCTGATCTTATGTTCTGTCTTGGTTTTCCATTTTTAATGATATTTTCATTTTATGTAAAGTCATTGAACTTTATTGTTTTTGGCAAGCCTGTATGTGGTTGTTTATTATAAATAATATTCATAGATCCTTCTTGGCTTTGGACATCTGCGGTGCATTCATTTTCTCTTATCTACATGATAGATCCTTGTTGGCTTTGATAATGAGATTGGTTTCTTCTGTGACTAATACTTTTTTCAGCCAATCTTTCAAAGATATCCGCGGCCTGAGAAAGAATACCAGTCATTTTCTCTTATCTACAGTGATAGGTCACTGGACTTGGTATGAAGTTTTTACATTTCTCTCCTTTCTCTCCTTTCTCTCCTTTCGGCGTTTTGGCTTTCAATGTACAGATATCATTGATATGAACAGTGTCAGGGCATTTTGTCTGTACAACCTTTATGATCTGGTGCTATGATTATCCTCTACTAGATTTGCAAAGATAAAGATGAAGCTGAGGTTTGGTTCAGTGGTTTAAAAGCATTAATATCACGTTGCCATCACCAGAAGTGGAGAACAGAGTCAAGAAGTGATGGCTTTCCATCTGGGGCCAGTAGTCCCAGAACATACACTAGAAGAAGTTCCCCGTTAAATTCTCCATTTGATACTAATGAAAGCCTGCAAAAGGTATCAGCAAATAACTTGTGCTTCAATTTTTCCTTGTTTCACTTAATGTCAATTGAAAATGCATTGAGAGAATGTTGAATTGCCCTATTCAGGACAGTGGGGATCACCTTCGCCTTCATAGTCCCTTTGAGAGCCCCCCTAAAAATGGTTTGGACAAAGCTTTATCTGATGTGATATTGTATTCTGGTCCTCCAAAGGGTTTGTTCCATCCAGATTCTACTAGTGGTTCAGTCCTCTCAGTGTCATCAGGAGGATCAGATGGTATACATGGTCAGATGAAAGCAATGGGCATGGATGCTTTTAGAGTAAGTCTATCAAGCGCTGTCAGCTCATCCAGCCAGGGTTCTGGTCATGATGATGGTGACGCCTTAGGGGATGTTTTCATTTGGGGGGAAGGAACTGGTGATGGTGTTTTGGGTGGTGGAACTCACCATCTTGGTGGAAAAATGGATTCTCTACTGCCCAAGGCCTTGGAATCTGCAGTGGTACTTGATGTACACAACATAGCTTGTGGTGGCCGGCATGCTGCCTTGGTGACCAAGCAAGGAGAAATTTTCTCTTGGGGAGAGGAATTAGGAGGCAGGCTTGGGCATGGAGTTGACTCTGATGTTCTTCATCCAAAGCTTATAGAATCTCTGAGTAATACCAATATTGAGCTTGTAGCTTGCGGGGAGTACCATACATGTGCTGTGACTCTTTCTGGTGATCTTTATACATGGGGTGATGGCACCTACAATTATGGTCTTCTGGGGCATGGAAATCAAGTGAGCCACTGGGTCCCCAAAAGAGTAAATGGGCCCTTGGAGGGCATACATGTTTCATCTATCTCTTGTGGTCCATGGCACACTGCAGTTGTTACCTCTGCTGGGCAATTATTTACTTTCGGTGATGGTACATTTGGTGTCCTGGGTCATGGGGACAGAAAAAGTGTTAGCATACCAAGAGAAGTAGAGTCCCTTAAGGGTCTTCGTACTGTGAGAACTGCTTGTGGTGTTTGGCATTCTGCTGCAGTTGTAGAAGTCATGGTCGGAAATTCAAGTTCCAGCAACTGCTCTTCAGGGAAGCTGTTTACTTGGGGTGATGGTGACAAAGGTCGACTTGGGCATGGTGACAAGGAAGCAAAACTTGTTCCTACCTGTGTTGCAGCTCTTGTTGAACCTAACTTTTGTCAGGTGGTGTGCGGACACAGTCTTACTGTTGCACTTACTACCTCAGGTCATGTCTATACCATGGGTAGTCCTGTCTATGGCCAGCTAGGAAATCTTCATACTGACGGCAAGTTACCAAGACGTGTTGAAGGAAGGCTCTCAAAGAATTTTGTGGAAGAGATAGCTTGTGGTGCATATCATGTTGCAGTTTTAACTTCAAGGACTGAAGTCTACACATGGGGCAAGGGTGCACATGGTCGTTTAGGACATGGGGATATAGAGGATAGAAATACCCCAACATTAGTGGAAGCTCTGAAAGACAAACAAGTCAAAAGTATTGCTTGCGGTACTAATTTCACTGCTGCTATCTGTCTTCATAAGTGGGCCTCTGGTGTTGACCAATCCATGTGTTCTGGCTGCCGCCTGCCTTTCAATTTCAAAAGAAAACGTCATAATTGTTATAATTGTGGACTTGTTTTTTGTCATTCTTGCAGCAGTAAGAAATCTCTCAAGGCTTCAATGGCACCAAATCCCAACAAACCTTATCGGGTCTGTGATAATTGTTATAATAAACTAAGGAAAACTATTGAAACTGGTGCTTCATCTCATTCTTCTGTAAGCAGAAGAGGAAGTATCAATCAGGGGCCACTTGATTTTAATGTTAATGATGATAAATTTGATTCAAGATCTCGTAATCAGCTTGCTAGGTTTTCTTCAATGCAATCCTTGAAGCAAGTGGAAAGCAGGTCTTCAAAGAAAAACAAGAAATTTGAATTCAATAGTAGTCGCGTCTCACCCATTCCAAATGGAGGTTCCCATGGTGGGCCGTCGAATGTTTCTAAATCTGTCAATCCTGTTTTTGGATCATCAAAGAAGTTTTTCTCAGCCTCTGTTCCAGGATCTAGAATTGTTTCTCGGGCAACATCCCCAATATCTAGACATCACAGTCCACCTCGTTCAACGACTCCAACCCCAACACTTGGAGGACTTACCTCCCCCAAGATAGGTGTGGATGATGTTAAGAAGACACACGATAGCCTTAACCAAGAGATTACTAAACTAAGAGCGCAGGTATCTTGTTTTACCCATTCGCTGACAGTACTCCCTTAGAATAGATTTTAACTGAAAATGGGTCCCAACTGAATCCCTCTTCATATATCTTTTAAGTTTTCCCCCCACAGTGAATCTGAGGTAGGCAGTCCGTATTGTACAAACAAAGGCAAGAATGAAGTTGCATCCTTCAACAATTATGCTTAAATTGGGACACTTGGAAGCAAGATGCATATTTCATGTAAAACAATCATAAGCATTATGGTCGGATGTTTTTGTTTGATACTTCTATATCTATATTTTTGCTCTCCTTGTACACGAAGGACTTTTTTGCTTTCTCCTTTTTCTTTTTCCTTTTCCTTTTCCTTTTTTTTGTTCTCAAAGAATCAATTGGGACGTTTAAGTTGGTTGGCTATTTGCAGTGACTTATCACTTTTTTCTTTCAGGTGGAAAATATGACTCGCAAAACTCAACTTCAAGAAGTTGAATTGGAAAGAGCGACTAAACAGCTGAAGGAAGCAATAGCATACGCTGGTGAAGAAACTGCCAAATGCAAAGCAGCGAAGGAAGTGATCAAGTCGCTTACTAACCAGGTAGCATGGATAATATAATATGAAGTAGTAGCGTGGCACGATAAGAGTTTTGTTGGTTCTCTATTTCTTGTCTTTTCTTTCTTTCTGATAACATTCAGGCATAAGCCTAAATGCTAAATTTAATGTAATTCAGCGAATTTATTGACTCCTCAACCAGAAAAAGTCTCTAGAAAAAAACCTTCAATCCCCTTTTACCACCCAAGAAACTAGACTTCTTTTACAGCCTATAGATCTTCTGTGTTCTGGAAGCAAAATGAAGTTCAGGAATGATTTTTCTTTGTATTGTACTACGTTTACGCAGATTCTAGCCAATGAATGTAATATATATATATATATATATATATATATTTTAAAGGAGCAGTCAAGCAATGTTGGTTTTTGGTTTGACTGTAAAACTTTGAAGGACATGAAAATTAACAGAGAACATTGGTCCGTGAAACTAGCCCGGATACTATGAGATGAAAGCTAAAAGAGCATATAATTATTTCCATTACTGGTAAGCATGTTTCTAAAAGTTCATAATCAAGCCGTTCAAAATTTAGCCTTTCTGCTTCAGGTTCTGATGGAAGGCAACATCTCACTGGACAAATGCATTGTATGGAAAACGTTAGCTTGTATTTAATTTATGGGACTCTATTACTATCACCGACACCGGTCAAGTAGAAAGGACTTGATTCTCATTGAGTAAAATTGAGGGTTTGAACCTTGTGAATAGGAAAAATCACATTGGGAGAGTTATTTCTGATTAAGCCCAACAATGAGTCGGTAGTATTAAATAAAATATCATATACTTGTACCAAAGGAAAAGTTTATCACTGTTCCAAATCTGCACCTTTTTTTAGACTAAAAAGTAGCATTTCTTAGACTACACAGAACTGGAAATCTGTTGTAAGCCTTACTGAAGTCCACCTGATACTACATTTCTTTGTCTTTTTTGTACTGATCAGCTGAAGGATGTGGCCGAGAAGCTTCCCGCTGGAGCATCTAGGAATGTGAAATTTCCTTCTATTGCTTCCTTTGAATCAAATCCTTGTTCTAATGAAGTCATCAATTCTTCTATTGATGGGTTAAATATTCAAGCTACTAGCCTAGAACCAGACTTAGCGGTATTGAACACCCAGTCACTTTCAAACGGATTAAGTACCACCAGTAATCGAAATGCAGGTAACAACAAACACAGCCAGTCAGATGCAACGATAAGAAATGGGAGCAGAACAAAGGAAGGTGAGACTCGGGGTGAGGTTGGATGGGTTGAGCAAGATGAGCCTGGAGTATATATTACATTTACCTCCCTTGGAGGTGTGATAGATCTTAAGAGAGTTCGTTTCAGGTATGAAATGCATTGATTTTGTAATTTAAAATATATCAATAAAAAATGGTAAAATCTAACTAAATCTCATATCTTTAACATTACCTTATCTGTAGTGTCTTATCATTAAAATCTTTCCATATCACTTTTGGAAACAATTTTTTATTTTATTTTATTTGTAAAAAGGCTGTCTGTGCCTGTAGGCTACAGAGAGGTCAGGGCACTATGCATGAAAAAAAAAGTACTTTAAAAAAAAAAAAAACTAATACTCCCTCCGGTCCTAAATATAATACCCATTTTGTAGTGTAAATTATACTACAAAATGGGTATTATATTTAGGATTGGAGGAGTAGTTGGGGACATTACTAATTGTTTGCAACAAAAAGTTATTACATTTTTGGTTTTGTTGAATGCTTTCTCTTGCATGGATGAAAGAATTACATTGTACTGTTCATGAAAAAAACTTACCCTATGTTTGGATGGGGAAAATTTAGGAAGGAAAGAATACCAGAATGGAAAACTTACCCATAAATAGTAATATATATATATTTTTATTTACTATTATCAGAAGTTTTCTTTCTTAGTATCCCCTCCTCCCTATTTTCCTCCCACCTTTCCTTCCATCCAAACATAGCCTTGGTGAACTACCTAACTTAGAATGGTGAAGCCAAGACTAAAGGAGGGGAGAACCTGGAAGGATAGAAATGGATCTCTTACTAAGAGCATGTGTGGCATTTGTGTTCTGGTACTTCATTGTTCATGTCATGTTCTAGGAATATTCTTGATCTCTTGCATTATATTCCTTTTTCCTTAGCACAAATTCATCCCTTAATATCAAATTCCTTATATATACTGACTTAGGTTATGATTGGTGAATGCAGTCGAAAGCGGTTTAGTGAGAAGCAAGCAGAACAATGGTGGGCCGAGAATCGGGCCAGAATATATGAGAAGTACAATGTACGCGGGGCTGACAAGTCAGCCATTGATGAAACGATCTACAAATGAGTTTCTTCTTTTTCCGCATTATTTTAGTTGGATTTACAGCAAGATAATGCTGATTAGTTTTACATTTGCTTCCATCTGATATTAAGGATTTGAGGGTTGGTAGCTAGCTTGGTTTGGCTTGATAGGAGAAAGAAGAGAATAGGGATTTGATTATGCTCTTGTGATTATTTTCTCCTTAGTTTGATTTCACTTTGCATTTTTTCCCTATATATAATTATATATACACCTTGTGTTGGGGGTTGACAGTGAGATGTAAATTCTTAGTAGGTTTGTTGGCTAGCAACATTGTAAATTTTTACAAGCAAAATATTTGCAGATTTTTCTTTATGTGCTGTTCATTGATTGCCTCTATCAGTAGAGGTGTTTTTCTGCATATGCTGCCTAATGACTAATGTCATGCTTAAGAGATAATTATGACTGATTCGGCAGAACATGGAAAAAAAAAAAAAAGAGAGGCCAAAACAGAGAGTGAAAATGAGGGTTGTGTGACTTTAAAACGGACTTTTTAAAAATTTGATTGGTCATTGAATGAGGGAAGTACCAATTTAAAATTCATCGGTTTGCTTATGTTCGTTTTTTCTTTTTCTGCCAACAGGTTTGATTATGGTATAACTTTTGACTTTATTGAAATTAAATCAATATTTTTAAATTAAATAGATTTATTATGTAAACATTAAATTTTTTTTGGTTATTTTCTTATTATTTATCTAAGTTTTTAATTGAATAAATTTTCAAAGCATTTTAGACTTAGATAAGGGCTAGTGGTTAAATTGTCTAGCGTTGGATAATTGCTGCATTCATGCTTTCCTAGAAAAAAATTAAAAGAAAAATCAATAACATAAATTATGCATTAGACTAATTGTACTATTAAATAAACTTTTTATGATACAAATTAAATTTTTTTTGGTTAATATTGTGATGTATGAGGTTTTATCAAAGTGATACAAGATATGTATGAGGGGATAACTACTAGTATAAGAACACCTGGAGGTGAGACAAATGACTTTCCTATTAAGATTAGCCTAAATCAGATATCTTCTTTGAATCCTTGCTTGTTTAATATTATTCTAGACGTTCTAACTGAGCTTATTCAAGCAACAATCTCTATGTGCATGCTTTTCGTGAATGACATAGTCCTTATGGCAAAATCAAAAGAAGCAATTAACTCTAGATTAGAGTTATGGAAAAAGATTTTGGAGTCAACAGGTCTTCGTTTGAGTAGGAACAAAAGAGAATATATGCTTTGCAATTTTAGAGAGAGGTAAGGCAATGGTGATTTAGAAGTAAAGATAGGGGATCAAATCATTCCTCAAGTATCAAAATTTAAATACTTACGATCCATGGTACATGAGAATGGTGAAATTGATGGAAACGTTTCTTATAGAATACAAGCTGGCTGGTTAAAGTGAAGGAAGGTTATTGAAGTTATTTACGGTAAGAATGTATCTGAGAAGCTTAAGGAAAAATTTTATTAGACTGTTATAAGACCAGCTATGTTGTACGATAATAAATGTTGGGCGATAAAGGAAAAATAAGAGTACAAAGTTGAAATAGCAGAGATGAGGATATTGATATGGATGTGGTCATACAAGAAAGATAAAATATCAAAGTAAGAGTTAGTGTGGTGCCTGTTTAAGAGAAAATGGTTGAATATCGCTTATGGTGGTTTGGACATATGCAAAGAAAGCTATTAGAGGCCTCGGTGAGAAAGGTAGATCAGACAGTATGAAGTCTCATAAAAAAAGGTAAAGGAAAACTGAGAAGAACGCTTAATGAGATCATTGAACGAGATTTCCTGATTAATAATATATCTAAGGACTGAGTTGTTGACAGAGTATAATGACGTCGTGTGATTTATATAGCCGATCCCATTTAGTGGGATAAAGCTTTGTTGTTGTATTGTGATGTATGAGGTTTTGAATCTTCTGAATTTTATCTTTCCAAAGTTCCCTATTAGTTAAGATATTTTTCTTCCCTCGTCCTCCTCCATGCGTGTTCTCACTTGTGTATATATATACATATATAGAAAGAGAGAGGGATAACATTTCATGTTCCCCGCTGCAACATGAAACATGAAGCAGCGCGCGCGCGCGCGCACACTACCTAACTAGTTCACCTTGTAAATATAGGCAGCAGCTATTGGTCTGCTAGATCATAACAAGTGAATTGATTTATAAATTGACAACATATGATCCTTCGAACAACAACAACACAAAGAAAACGGAAGGTCTCATCATATTTTTATGTTATTAGACAGTTTCTCGGTCAACACCTAACAAAGTTTATCTAAATATAATCCAATCCTTGTAATTTGATTTCTTCTAACAAGCAAGGAGCTTCAGGAAAGGGAGCCTAACATACAATTCCCAGACCTATGAAATATGAACAGTCATCAGTGCAAACTGTAAACACACAAGTTCCACAGCTAAAAGCTATCAGGTTTCTTCGATGATTGTCTTGAAAACATGAGTACGAAACAAACATTAAGTCAAACTTAGGCTGTGTTTGAAGTGGCGTTAATTGGTTGCTCCGGTCAAACTGTATTCTCGGAGAGCCAGAACACCACTTCATACAGGCTATTAAGCATCAACTTCTTCCTTCAGAACAAACTCAAACGCTTCATCATCCCATGAAATAGGAGAAGATGGTGCAGAGTCCCATAGTAATGGAGGAGGAGATGGAGGACAGCTCCTCTGTGCTGAAGAGTCCAACCAATAAGAAAACTTGGACATTGGCAATTCCTCTGGTTCTGGGTAGCAACGAGGGGATTGAGGGACCTAATAAAGCCACCAAAAAGAAGTTAAGAGTAAATGTTGCAACGAAGGGAAGCAAAGCAGCAAAGAGAATATAATTTAACCGCGAAATGAATATATGTTTACTTAATTTTTTGAATGATTAAGTATTATAATCAGTAAGTAACCAATGCTTTTGTTTTGGTCCAAGGTCACCTCCCCTTTAAATATTCATAACCAAAACAAAACAAGTGAAGAAAAAGGTATGACAGGAAGGGAATATTACCTTAATCTGATCAAGAGAAGTTATGGAATCTGCAAGAATAAAATGAAGTAAGGATTCTGGATTCCCACACAGAAGCTTTCAAACTTATTGTAAAGTAGTAATAAGAAACGGAAACATCCATCTTTTTTTTTCCATCCAAAGGAAGAGTTAAAAGATAATATTCAGATATGTTGCACACAATCTCTCCTCAAATATTTATGTAATTCTGATCTTAACAAATCTTTGTAAGTTAGGTGTCCAATGCCATCATCCTTTTATTCATATGCTCTATAGTAACACAATCCTCTTTTCTTAAAGCATGTTTCATGAATCATCCTTGAGATTGCTAGTCTTCATTCCTAGTGTTACTATTAGCAACACGAACCCTACATGCCATGCAAGAGGACTAAGAACAACTTGCATTATGGGCCAGAAACAAATACCATCTTGTGGAAGAACCATGTCTAGATTCAAAGCGTTCATTGCTGCTTTTTGGGCTTCAATGCACTTCTTATGGTCATGCAAGAACGTTTCCTCCTTCACATTGATTTCTTGTTCTTCCTTGGGTGCATTCTTTTTCCTTGATGAGGCTTCGACAAAAACAGATGCGTTTTTGTTTGTAATGTCGTTGAGAGCTTTTCGACCAGTAGGCACTAAGCCAACTTTCTTTCCATCCGCTTTAGAATTCTTTGTCTTCCCACTCAAGGCAGCTTCTATTGCAAGTCATAACCAATATAACAGGAGAAAATCACCATAGTAAGAATTCATTTTGTGTGAGATAATCATATTAGTGCCATCTTATTAATTAAATGTAAAAATAATTCTCAATCACTTTATTCTTGAGCACATCTATGAAACAAAAATCCTATTGATGTTACACCACTCTACTCAGGTCAAGTGTTCATAGCAACATAAGCCTTACTCTTGGGTTTGGATTGAAGAACCAAATTTTCATCTTTAATCATCAGCTTCCCAGGGGTGATATATTTGGCCATTACCTTGTTTAATCCAATGCAGCAGAGAAAAGGCTTGGGTACTAGGCTCTGCAGCAACATAGAAGATAGCATGAATTGATTTTTTTTTTTTTTTCAAGTGAAAGTTATTTCACACTTAATAAACGATTCCTCTTGAAAATGTTCAGTTTTACAGACTGAAAAGAACACTTTTTGATTCTGAGTCTGAAAAATACACACAAGCAACAAAGCAAGCCCTAAAGAATTACTGTAGTGACCATGATAACTCCGCTCTAAAGAGTTTAGCAAATCAGAGATATAATGGTCCTTTGCGGATAAAGAGGCTATAAGAATCTTGTGGCGCGACTCACAATTGACAATCTTAACATAAACTTTAAAGGTCCTCAGTCCAAACAGAAGAGCAAAGGTTGTCTAACGATCCCCTATTTTCCGATTAAATAATGAACGATTGTTTTCTTTACTCTTTCATCACTCGTTCAATTTTCTTCCACCATTCCACTCATCCCTCAACACACACACACACACACACCCCATTACGTATTTGCCTTTTGCCCAATTTTCTACAAACTAATAACACCTTTAATCTGTTCACAACCCTTTTCTTGCCGATCCAACGAATGAGAGAACAAGAAAGGATCCAAAACAGCAGAAAGAGAGATGCTGAAAGGGAATAGGATGATACCTCGGAGAACAAAGACGCTCAAGAAGATGAACAGACCACGGTGCCGAATTCTTCAGAGTTCAGTTTGAATTTTGCTTCGAGCCCGCGAGAGAACGACGCTATGTAACGACGAATAGGGTAGGCGGTTTATTTCTGACCGTTATAAATATCCAAAGGGGGAGGAGAAGAAGAAAAAAGCAAATAAAAAGCTGAATTGATGAAGGGTTTGGACCAAAGAACCCTTAATAAATTTCAATATTCCAACCTTAACCTAGAACTTTATGACTTTTAAGGTAGGTCACATTTTTTTGTTGGTAAAAAAAAAAAAACCGAATTTATCAGTATAGACTAGCAAGTCTTAATTAGATATGTGAACGTGTGTCATTTATTTGTTCTTGATAATTTAGCAAAAGTTACTCATAAGTTGGAAAAGAATTTTTGTATCTTTGATCAATCTCCACTTTAGATCTAAGAGGTGGATCTTGATCAAGAATAGTTCTTTTGTATTGCTGTTTGCTTTTAATAAGTAATGTTATTCAATATTATTAAAAAAAAAGGCAGTTACTAATAAGTATTGATCCAAGTGAAAGAGATTTCGAGACTTTAAGTATCATGGTCCTAAGTCGATTCTTAGAGTGATGCATATGGAGAAAAACATTCTTAGGAAGAATCCCCGTTACGGTACCTGACAGTAT